TTTTTTTTCTATATTTTTCCATTTCTACTTTTTTTTTTTTCTAGATTTTTTTTTCTAAATTTTTGCATTTCTAGATTTTTTGTTTTCTAGATTTTGCGACATATTCGATAAATTGAATAAAATGTTCTGAGTTGAAGTTGACTCGAAGATACAACTATGTAACGGAAACAGTATTGCCGTCCGAAGTGTCAAGCAAGTTTCAAAATATTAAATACAGTCTCCGCGCTTTGAGATTATTTGCTTTTCGTATAGAAAAAATCAATATGTCAAACTTTTTATTTCCAACAACATCTGCTTTATTCGCCGATAACTAATAAGAGTTTTTGTCTCGAGAATAAATGCAAGAACATTTCAAAGAATAATGCATTTGATTTCATTGTTTCATCTGTTCTATTTTATTCTCTGTCGAGTTAGTCGATCAAGCAAGAAGGAGCCTATGATAGGTCTAACGCTCATAACGAAAATTGTCTCTTTTCGATTGTCTAGCCCGTTTCTGTGGATTTTTGAACACGTACCTGCTATTTTTGTCCTTCGCTTACGTTAACAGTGTTGATTTGTTTTTACTTCAGAAGACGATTAGCATCATGGCAGATAACGCCGATATAAAAAATTTAAAACGATGTTTCGAAGAAATTATTCCTGTTGTTCAGCGAACCATTGAACAACTGCGACCGAGAAAGTCCGATTCACAATCGAATACTCTACATGAGAATTCAGTATTGAATACAGGTGTATTTACATTTACATTGAATAAACTTGAAGATGACGAAATGAATACACTTAGATTAAATCTTGAAAATATTGTCGATAAATATCGACCACTTCTAAGTAAAACATGTCAAAAGTACTTACTCGAGTTTTTATGTCAATATCATTACAATGACGCAGAGCGAAAATTTACAAGCTCCTTTACCATGGACAGTCTTTATCCATTCGAGTGTGGTCTTCAGGGAGCGCTAGCATCTATCGATGCTTTTGTAGCGGCATGGGAAGGAAATGTGCAACCTGTCAAAGATTTCATTGAAAAATATCCGACATTCAAAGATAAGCCGGGCCTTCATGGAACAACTCTTTTATATTCAGCAGCCAAGAACAACCGTATGCCACTTGTCATATATCTTGTTGAGATTGCTAAATGTGCTATCAATGCTCAAAATCTTCAGGATCTTGCGAAAGCATTGGAAGCACCCAGCGGACACTATAGTACCATCCCATCAGCTGCTTCAACAGCATTACACGGTGCTTGTTTTAATGGACACTTGAAAGTCGTAGAATATTTAATTCAACATGGAGCCGACTATTTCATTTTAAATCAAGCTCACGAAACACCGATTGAAAATGGAAAACAACATGATAGTATTCGACAATTTTTCGAAAACTTTCTAATACTCGGCTATTCTCAAACAGGAAAAGCTCTACCTCGAGAGCCAATTCGAGAAAAGTCGACAGTGAAAACATTTGATTGTATTTGGGAATATAAACCGCTCTCCAGCCAAGAATGGAATGTATTCTCGATTGAGGAATCCAATGAATTAAGTCAATCGCTTCTCGTGGAACCTGATCAAGAAATGAAACGCGAAGTCTATCTGAGTGCACGTTCTAATGTCTATAGTGTCTCACTTATTCAATTTCTGCGATCGGGTAAAAATAGTGATCCAAAAAGAAATTTAGCATGGGTACGTTGCCGTGGTTCATCAATTTGGAACTTCGATTGCTATTCATTATGGCAAATAATGATAATACAACATCCCAGCGTGCCGTCGAATGATGAACCCTCGTTAAAAGCCTTTGATGTATCAACAACTTACGATAGTCACTTTCGGCTACAACTTAGTTGTTGGTATAATTGCACGGCACAAATCAGTGCGCAACTCGATCATGGAATCAATTATCGACAAAAAAAGATTTGTATCGATGTTGATTTTATAAGTACTGATATTTTGGAATTCAATCTTCAAACATTTACATTTACTAATAATAAAAAAACAGTAGTCGGCTTCATACGTTGGATACCAAAACTGATATCGAACAAACAACAAGATTCCAGTAGAATACTTACAATTGATAATTTTCAAAATTTAACTAATCTTGATCCTGTACCATTTACCACAAGACGACTGAAGCAAGCATCACGACGCAATGACACGCATTCAATCGTCAATGATGAACTGTTAGTCGATGAAAATGTTGATGATTCTGTATCACAAACTCTTCTCAATGCGGATGAAGGTGACGAAGACTACTTTGAAGCTCAAAGAGAGGTAAATAGTCGTTTCTTCTTCTTCTGGAAACATCGTTCGTACGAAATTTTCTTTTTTGTCAGTTATTTAATTGGATGATAAAAATCTTCATGAAGATATCTGCTAATTAGTATCTCCCTCTGCTCATGCGTTGTGCGTAAGCAGAAAGATAACTATTAAAATCACTGCTTTGCGTAGGATTAGAGAACTTACATAAAATAAAATTCCCATCGGAAGACTTATCTATTTTTAAGTTCGTGAAGTAGGATCGCAATATAAGTTCAAAAGCTTGTCTATTAGCCATATACAGTTATAACTATATATGTATCTAATAAGGTAACAACGACGATAGTTAGAACAATACGGCTCAGTGCAGAAGACTAAAACGACCAATTTAACATCGACTATAAACTGTATGAAAGAGGAAAACAAACACCAATCAACAAAGGATAATTTACTTGAAAATTAGCAGCTATATAGTGCCGTCTGTTAACGCAAACAATCTTCGGTGAAGAACGATTTCGTTGACGTGTCTACTGAAAGATTATGTGAGAGTTGATTTCATTCGCTAGCTTTTTTCTCTGCAGTAGATACACTGATAGTAAATACATCTAACCTTCATTTGAGCCAATGAGAGCGTTTGAATTCAAAATTCTTATTGAGCATATAGTATTTGTTATATTTGGAGCATCATTAGAAATATTTGTACACCACAATTCGTATGAGAATTCAGCTGTACAATGCGATGGGCTCGTTTCTATCCAGAACGAAAATTCTTTGCCACACTCGTTAAAGACACCGCATTCTTTGCATATTCAGCTTGCATGGGTCACAGCGGTTATTGTTCAGGCCGACACACTTACTTGCACTACTGGGGCAAGTACATGTGCTAGGAATCCTTATGATACCCGACGTCCTTCCCAAATAATAAAAATGAACACATAGTGTCTGTTAAGTGCGAATGGTATTATAACTTAAATGCTGCTTCCGCACTTTCGAGATAGTTGAAATCGTACTACTTGCGGAGAAAACTGAGTTTGGTGTTAGCATTACAGGTTGCAAATATCTACTTGAGGACTTGGTCCAATTCTATCAAAAACATAGATCGTGTAGGACAAATAAAACATTGGAAATTATTTTAGCCGTGAACTTTTAAAAATAATCCTCAAGATGCATAATTCCTGTCTAGTTAAATCTGTTGTGGGATTTACAAACCTAACGAACATTCTTAGGCCACATGATAGATGTAGCTGAGTTTCTTGTTAAATTATGTCTCCATTGGTACTGAAATACACTGGAAAATACACCAGGTTTCCTTTCTATTCACTTGAACATCCATTCATTGATAACTCCTGTTTGACAAACACCAGTGCAAAACTGAGTGCTCCGAAAGAATTTACCATTCTTTCATATATTTTTGACGCCGTGTTTTTCGATATCTTCTTCATGAAAGCAAGCCGTATTATTCCAATGTTTGACGCAAACCACGTCACACGCACTGATGAATATTTTGCTAAGTAAAAATATCACCAAATACGAAGCCAATGCACAAACGGAAAGAAACAAATAGCAGATGCACGGACTACTTAAACAGCAGAATCTATCATAGAATTAGAATAAGGGAGTCCGGCAAGTGCATCAAGTTTTTCTTTTCAGAGCTGTAAACTATTTTTAAGGATGCAATACAACTTGAATGTAAAATTACGTCAGGTAATATTGCCGAGTTCTACACTATGAAAGAAGTGTAGAATAATAAATAGAGAAAGATATTTGAAAATGTAATTAGACACTAATTTGTCATAGGTTATTGTAACGAAGCTCATATACCATTTCTAATGATTCATCTACTATCTTACCTTATAGATAGATGAATATAGGCTTAGATACGACTTCAGCATTTACTCCAACATGCATACATCATCACCTGATGAGCCATCCAAAATTCTGGACATACACTCACATTCATAAACTCTCAGGGTGTGGGTGTGGGGTGTGTAGGTAGGTGGGTGTGGCTGTGGATTGGGGTGTAGTAGTGATCTACGTTTACACCTACATCCACACCCACACCCACACCCTATTTGCAATACATGTTTGGTAATAAGTGTTGCATTATATAACGATAAACAAGGACGTATTCAGCTCCTGCCACAGACTATAAGAAGCAGACAGATAGAATGGATGTTGCTCTTCTACAGGATCATAGACCGTGGCAAACATTGTCATATATTGTTCGATCTAATCCTCTTTGACAATGATTGGCATGGTACTATTTCAAAGTTTCATTTTAACTTCTACTTAATGGATGGATTCAAACATCTATTGTCCTTCTTTCTTGAGAATTTTGATTTGACAAGGGATGGAAATGACCTGTAGTTTTGGCCCCTTTCTTTTTCCTACTTCGTCTGATCGAACTCACTTTTGTTTAGCAACCATTAGGTTGAATACGATTTCAATTAGCCTCTTATGTTGTGATTTTATTATATTTCGCTGAAATAAAAATCCAGAACACGAGGAGTACTTTAAAATAACGACTCTTTTCCTGTGCTATTGTTGTAAGTTCTGCCAAAAATCTTCAGAACAATATTCTTTGGACAAAACAGACGATGCACCTTAAATACTGTGCCGGGTCTATGAAAAATTCTGTTCTATAGGTCTTCGTATGAAAGAGAAATAGGGACAATCCTGCACTGTTCCAATGAAAATTCGGTTTTGAGAATAGCACAAACGTTGTAGTGCGATATTCAGCTTAATATCAGCATTTGTATTTCTGCAATAAAGCCAATCAAAAACTGTCATATTTAGCGATGTTAGAACCTCATTCGACTTTTCGGCGTATCTTAGAAACATGAAATTACTCGTTTTACGAGGCATTGTGATAAACAATTAAATAGTTATAGAAAAACTTTCTCCTAGACTTACGAAATCGATTTTAATAAAATTACTAATCATCAATGAAAACCTATTTATTATGTAGTATTTAATAAATGACATTTTAGGGATACACTAGTGATAAAAAACACTAGTATTGTATAAGCTACTTCCTCGAGTCTTGGAAAAAACAGCTCAGCTGAGGGATGCGTTTAAAACACCAGAGACTAAAAAAACTCACAGAAAAGGCAATTTCGACTCAACTCAACTCGATTTTGTAGAAGCGTTCAGCTTTCGGATTTCTCATATTTATTACAACTTGCTTCTGGGATTCTGTACTCGTGTTTGATCGGCAGGTACATAAACATATGGGGGAAAACTTGAAAATTACAGCAGAACTTTTCTAAAGTAACAATTGTATAGAGACTAGATGCTATTCAAAAGTCATTTTTTTAATGAAAAATCGACAAATATTTCTAAAAATCAGTAGCAAGCTACTGATCTACGTAATCAACTCCAACATGTTAATAAATTTCTTCGGTCTGCATTTATTTTTGAAAATAACATCAGAACTTAATTGCTGCTAAAGTAGACTTTCTAGAGAACCATTTTGAAAACTATCACTCGCTTGTGGTTGAGGATAGAAGATAAGTATGTGCTATTTAGGCTGTTGATGTTATAGCGAATAGTAGAACAACGGAGCAGCATCGCTTGACGATTGACTAATTTGTGTATGATTCTACTTGAAATTATTCGGCGATTACTGTAAAGGAAGTTGGGTTAACTTCTCCAATATATACTCACTTCGTATGATCTCTGGTTGAATATTTTCTCTAGAAGAAATTCGATGCAGGAATAATTTCTTCGATTTTAAATACTTTCGAACTAGGCAGGGAACAATTGCGACTAGGTCATTCCTTCTCTTCCGCTTTGATTTCGTTTCTGCTAGACAAACTTTCAGCATAATTTCTGTGTAATAACAATGTGATACATGATGAAACTACTTCAATTACCACAGAGAAAGCTAAATATATTTACCATACTATTTTTGGCATCAAAGACCGGTATTTCGCAAATGCATTAAAACGATTACAGAATGTAGCAGACATATTGAAACTTCTCAAAATACTCATCACAATCTGTGGGACAGGCCACTAAAGTCATGAACAGTCATTTTTTATAAAATTAACTTGAACTTTGAAAAGCCAAAAATATATAATCCCAATCTAATAAGACTATTGAAGAAAGTGACTTTGCATTACGATTGGTTGCTCAATACATGTAATTCTATGTTCAATTCCTACCTAATAGCTTCCATGCGTAAACTATGACCTTTCTCTGGAAATTACAAAAGAAATTTTAACAGTTTCGCACTACATCAAAAATATCTACATGAAAGTGCCGATCTGAAAACATATATACCTTGTCACATATTGTCCGTTTCTTCACTTCATTTGAATTTAACTTTATCTTCTTACCTTCTTTTTTTTTCACTAGACTACCAAAGTCTCTAACGATGGATATTGGTCTATGAAAGATTTTCAAAAAGATGATGATATCGAATCAGTGGCAAGCGACGATGCAAGGAGTGAAATTCTCGATGACTATTTAAATGAGGCTTCAAGCCGAAGTTCAGCAACATCCACAATAGTAGAATCAATTTCAGTTGCTCATCGTCAAGAAGTAGACGCGATTAAAGCTGATCTAGACAAAAAAGATCAGGAGAATCGAAACCTTCAAGCCCAATTGGACGCTGCTGATGAAGAAATGAGGCGACAATTATTGGATAATCAGCAGAAAACAGCTGAACAGGAAGCAGCATTTGACAAACTACTCAAAAAGATCTCACAATTGAATGATGCCCAAACAAGAATCAAGGCAGAAAAAGACGAAGCTCAAAGGATAGAACAAGCTGTCAAAGCTATCGACTACAAGGAGATTGAAATAGAAATCGTACAGGATTTTTTAACGCCGAAATTTAACCTGGTATTCGACTGTTTGAAGCGAACAACGACTAAATTTGGTAGTTATCCTATAGATAAAATACTAAAAATGTCATTTGAAAAAAGAACAAATTCATACATTGTCACCATTGTTGGCTTCCAAGAGCATCATGAAACATTCAAAATGATTTTAAAACGAATACGACATTTAATGCGTTTGAAACAAGGGGCCGTTGCTTTTCATCAACGAAAATTGGATGGAATGAAAAATGCAATCAAATTCAATCTTTCCAAGGTTCGACAGAAAGCACAATTTTGGAAACAATACGAAAAAACTTTGATTCAATTAATTAACGCGAAGTCAAGTGAATATGCAACAATGTTTAATGATTACATGGGACAAAAAATGAGTTCATTAACCGAACAATGTATTTCTAACGATTTGACTTCAATTAAAACTGAAATTCACAACCAAACAAATAATTTCATGAAAGATAACAATCTGTTGCTCAAAGAAATTGAATCACTTAAATTCCAAGCACTTGAAGAATTTATTCAGCAAAATATTACTATTCAACGAAATCATCTTGAGAAAAAGCCAACACCAAAAGCAATATCCACACTGGAAAAATTTATTGAAAAAGTTCGAAATATACTGAAAACAAATCCAAGGTTTATCGGTCATGAAGTAAAACATTATAATATGATACCTGACCTATTACAACGATTAATGATCTATTATTGTTGCTTTAAAACACAACTACCTTTGTACGAGTCGTCATTAGAACTATTGGATAAGATTGAACAGAATACAGTCACAACAATTGCAACATCAACCGGATCAGGTAAATCGAATCGTTTGTTTTGATACGTTGAACTTCTGTGAAATAGACAATAATCGATAATAGAAAATGAATGAGATGCATCGAGTCTTCTCCATACCTGAATCGATTCTCATCGTTTTCAATTAAACTTTTCTTCCGAAAAATTCACAGTTGAATCGATTATCAATACGTAGGGACAGCAAAAAACTATAAACGATGGGGATACAAATGAAACCATGAACCTAAATAGATGTTTTCATCAGGTTTCTATAAATTTTACATGGATTATCTCCTTACAACGTAAAATTTTCATAATTTCTCGATCGCAGAGTCGCGATTATTTTGATACAATCGGTTTTGAGAAAATAGACTTGCATGAAGACGCGTGGACTGGTCATTTGTCAATCGCGTTGCCTAATGTCAACATATTTCTCTCGGTCCAATTCTCACAAAATGATCTTCATCTCGAGCTATGTAAATTCTGGAAGCTCCATGCTTACAATAGACAGCTGTAAAAATTACTAAATCGACTTTTTTTGCACGCTTCAATGAACCTTAAACAAAAATACAACTTAGAAACCATAACTTGCGGAAACTTAAGACTACTAGAGACAGCAACCGTTATCAAAGAAAAGAGTTGACAATAATTAATACTAGCAATAAGCAACGCGATGAATACATTGCACAGATCAATTGTCCCTCAGTATTTCTTTATACCAACATATTTTCTCAAATCTACTTGTACCAAAATGATTGCAAGTTCAAGCCTGACAAATCCTGATGATTTTGCGTTGTAAGCAGATACTTTAGAATAAAACGATTGGAAATTTGGTAGAAATACCATAAGACACTCCGAATGTTGGCACATATCAAGCATTAAGATTGAATTTCTGTATTGATGTGTTCTCCTACCATAGACTAACCGAAATAAAACTAGCGATTTGGTAGAGTCTGAAAAATTGTTCTTCTCAGGAATCATTTCACAAAAGGGACAATCGACATCTTTCAACTAATGTCACCAATTTCAATGAGACTTGACCAGTGTATAGCTGTATGAGAAAGATGGATGTGCCTAAAATTTCAGCTCTTGAAATTCTTTCGTTATGGAGAAAACCAAAACTCTATGAGAGTCACCCATCTTCCATTTCGATGCGTGGTCAATTTAAAAACAATTTCTGTTATTCAACAATAACGTTTCTAGTCATGCTATCTTATATGCATAATAGGTATGATAAATCCTATATGACTACACCTTGAGAATTCTTGTATGAATCGTTAAAATAAAATTTGAAACTGAAAATACATATACTAAAGTAAGAGACGTGAAAGCATTTCAAGAGGCGAGTGTGTTGTGGGTGTGATGGAGTAAGAGTGAAAACTTTTTTCAAAAAAGTTAGCTCAGAAAAACGACGAACGTTAATAGGATCAAAACTTAGATTATAACTTTGAACTGTAGTTATAAGTATGAGCCATTTTAACTGGAAACAACTCTTCATCTTCAGAACAGATTTAATTAAGTTGAAATAGTAATTGTTTTGAGTTACTTGATATGTTCAACAGAATAAATAAAAATATACGTATTTCAGTGTTCCTTACTTCAACAAATCAGCATGTACATATTCTTTTCTGAGTATTCTAATGTGTTCAATTGCAAGCTACGTGTTATCCATTTTGTCTGCTACAATCTATGAGATGAAATCGGAGGGATGGGAGTGATGGCTTCTGTTTCTCGCTATATACTTCAATACTAATTTTCAATCATATTTCACCAAATCTGTTGTACACATTTCATCATGTGCTGAAATCTCATCAACATCATATTTATTTCATATTCTAAAGGTTACGCATGGTTATCTAAAGCTGCTGACTCGTTGATCAGTCCTGTTCTACAAGTTAAAATTTTCAAGCATGCAGCAACTAACATATCAGAGTTCGGCGTTTTTCTCAAATTCGACCTTTTGAATAAAAAGTGCAGAAGTAATCAGTTCGGTTTCTTCAACATACTAATTACATTGGATAGAGTTGACATTTTTTTCCGCCAATATTAGACATTATTCGAAGTGCACTTGCTTTCTTGTGTCAAAAATATTACTGTGATGATTTTAGGGAGACTTTATTAAGTGTACTCGAGCAGAAAACAAGGAGACTTTTAACAATGATTGTAGTATTATGATTTTTCGACTAAGGAAAATAGGATTAAAAGCAAGTTGCGAACTGAAAACAGAGCATCACACTTGTAACTAAATTTTCAGATCAGCTAAACATAATATATATATATACATATCAGAAAAAAAATGGAGGCGATACACAGGATTCATTTTTGGTTCTTGTGATTCGCATATTTCATGGAAAGAAGCATTAGGCAAAGTTGAGTCTAGCGTAACTTTTTCTCTGCTAAGTAAGAACAGCTAGATCGAAAGTTTTCAAATACATTAATAGTCTTTCTTCTCGAGATACGTCGCTAGAAGTCAAAGGTATTTTCGGAAGGTCGATCTTCATTACTAAAAAGTCGTTTTATTCTTCAAAAAACTACGTTTCCGTTCTCATGCCAACCATTATTCTGTTGATTCATGTTATTGCTTTTAGCCATATGGCATTGAAAGTTGAATCTTTTGGAAAAGATAATTGAATCAAAAATATTGAAAATCGAAAGAAATATTCACAAATTACTGAGAGACTTATTTTTTTCCGCGAAACTCATTAACATTGATTAAAGTGAAAGAAAAATGACGTACAAATAATTTGAACTGTTTTCTAGGCAAATCAACTTTGCTACCCGCTTTGCTTGCTGCGGAAGGCTACGATAAAATTATTGTTACACAACCTCGACGTTTGCCCTGCATGCTGATTTCTGAACGTGTCAATACAACAATGACAACAGTGAAAGATCCTTCTTCTCAGAAACTCGCCGGTTGGGCTGTTAGTGGTGCTGAAGATAATCAAAATTCAAAAGTTCTATATCTGACGGATGGTTTGCTCAAAGAGCGTTTACTTTACGATGAAAACGTTATCACAAAAGATACACAATTAAACAGATCAATCGTTTTTTTCATCGATGAAGTGCATGAACGTTCGGTAAATATTGACCATTGTTTAGCATTATTAGCACGCTTATTAACGTTGAACTCGGATTTAAAATCAAAAATAAAATTAATTATTTCGTCTGCTACTTTGGATGCATCTGTCCCAAAGCTTTTTCGTCAAATACCGCAAATAAGATTTGCGAAATTTGAAATGCCACAAATGGGTACACTACATCATGTTACCAAATGTGCTCGTCCAAATGCAAATATATTGAATATTGTACAAGAGTTGTATCAAGAACGTAAACGATACGATCAAATTCTCTGTTTTGTTAGTTCAGTCAAGGAAGTTAACGAATGCTGTAGTTTATTGAAAAAAATCACTGGTGGAGCCATTACCGCTTATCCACTTGTTCAATCACAACAAGCATCTGTTCAACAAGAATATATTGATACGGGAAGTGTATTTTTTTCGACAACAGTCGCTGAAACTTCACTAACGTTTCCTCAATTAAAGTATGTCATCGACACTGGTATGATTAATGTGCCAGTCTATGATCCGAAATCGAAGCGAACAGTATTAAAAGCTGAACGTGCAGCAGAATCAACAATAAAACAACGCCTAGGGCGATTGGGTAGAACACAGCCAGGTACATATATTTCATTGTATGATTTCAAAGTCGTAGATAAGCAATATCCAACGCCGCAAATATGTCAATCGGATTTGATGAATATCGAATTTTCGCTGCGAAAATCACCATTGCGTAAAGGGTTGGATTATATGAAAGATTTCTTACCGGATAAACCATCGAAAGACATTATTGATCATACGGTTCAGCAGCTTCGTGATTTACGTAAGTAGTCTTAATCTTTTGTGTTGTTTTATTTCCCTTCTTTTATGATTCAAAAGCTTAGTCATTCATATACTAACTCGAAAAGTGAAATTACCTGTTTAAAAATTAAATATGAGAAGTTTTTATTGAGAATAAGTGCTTAAAATAATATTGACAGAACAAAAACGATTTGATATAGAGCAAATTATAAAGCCAAATCTTTTGGAAATCTCGTTAGTAGCTGGATTGTGTGCATCTTAACACATAAAGTTATTCGTTTGAAAGCTAAATTAAGCGAGAAAGTGTAGAGTCGGACTACAATAGTTGAACTAAGACAAGGCACAAGTGAACACTTTGACTCTTTGAACTGGAATTGTCGATCTACTGTTAGTACTTTTCAATTATGAGTGAATCATATCGTCCTTTCTCAAACTAGAACAACATTTGAGAGCAAATATGCTGTTCATAACACAGTTGAATTGAAAAAAACAATGTTTTCTTCATTAGAATGTTTTCTCCTTTCAAATTAGAAGACTCATCTGTAAAAGTTGTGCTCTGCAGATCAGAAGACGTAACAACTATTCATAAGTGATAAAGACTCAAAGTACGTATCCCAGTCTCTCTGACTAACACAGCAATGAAAACAATCAAATCAGTTGAATTAGCGAAATTCACAGACAGATAATGCTTATTAAGGGTGACAATCTATTTTAAATTTAATATGTCCTGTGATAGTGATGATTTCGGATAGACTACTATTATTTATTGTGAACCGCTTGGCATCTGTTCCCACATCGAATTATCTGATTTAAATAAGCATATTAGATCGTTGTTCTAATAACTTTGACATTTATTTTAATCGGCATTAACATAAATAGTAACATTGCATAGCAAAATCTTGTCCGCATAGCATTCCTTGATCTTTAGAATTTCTTCATCGATTTGAAGATGACTTTGCATTTTGCTTGATGTTGTATTTGTAGGCATTTTAGAAAAAGCTCCAAGCGAAGCACTAACAAATCATGGTATAGCACTTGCGAAATTGCCAGATTTCGGTTCATTGGCGATGTCCAAATGCGTCTTAGCTGCACTGAAAGATTATCATTGTGGACGTGATTTGATCTCTCTTTCATCTATTCTAAGTGTTTTGAATACAACTGTAGTGTTGAAAAGTATACCGCAAGATTTCAAAAGTCCAGATGGTGATTTTATGACATTATTAAATGTAATGGATCAAATATTGCTTGTTAAGCAATCTGTACCAACGAAAGATTTTCGTTTGGAAGCCGTTTGTCAAGCGAAAGGTTTGACCGGTATCCAACATATCTTAAAACAAGCATTGAGACGTCAAACAAATTTAGAAAAATCATTTAATTTATCCGTGGATTATCGTACAAAAGCACAAATTAAATCAAACAATTGGGAATTGATTGCTAAATCATTATTAACTGGATATTCGGGCAATGTATTTGCATCAATGAAGGAGCTACAAGATAGATCTCATCTTTATGTGCGATACAATAATTCAGCAGACAATGATATTGCCGAATTGGATTCACAGTCCGTTCTAGCTCGAACAACAAACAAAGATCCTCCGTCCTTGGTTTTAGTTCGAGATATTCGATATTCGACATCAGTTCGTTCAAAAGCTTTACTTTCATTTGTTGGTGAGATTAAACCTGAATGGGTCGAGTATGGAATTACGCGTCAATTAAAACTAACTACTGAAGAAGAAACACGGTTAAACAGTAACAATATATTTAAAAATGCTCTAGCGAAATTCTCCCATCGAATTAATATGCTTTTGAATAATACAGCCAAGGCTGCTGTCCTATCGGGTCCAGCAGGCACTGTTTTCACCTCTGAGTTACATCTTCGACAAAACATGGTAGAAGAATTTCAATTTCAATTGGAAAATAAAAATCCACCCAATACAGCGAATCATACGAATCTAGCCCGAAATTTGGAAAGTGTGATGAAAATGCCGCAGATATTTAGACCAATGCAATGGCGTTGGCAAAATCAAAAACAAGTAACGATAACAGTTAACTGTAATACATCAACGAGTACTTGTGATATAACAGTGAACGGAAGAAATTCAGAATATCAAAATGTGAAAAAAGAATTCGATTCGTTTTTAAAATGGTTACAAGATTGTGCTGTCATTCGACATCCGAATTCAGGTAAGCAAACGATTTTTAAAAAACCAGAGAAATAAAATCCTGAAGGAATATAAAACGATAATCTGATAAATTTATTCAACAGACGATAATTATAGAGAATAAGACCCACACAAGAGATTTAAAAATAAGTGGAACTGGTCGGATTTTTACAGCTATTGATGATGACAACTAATTGGTCTGTTTAGCCGGATCGATCGTTTCATCCTCGAAACAATAGACTACTGAGTAACTTTTCGCTTAAAACGCCGGTACTTTCTGGTTCTTTGAGCCTGGGTGTCCGCTTCGCCTTGAAGTATCTGTTCAAGAAAATCTATTGCATTAATTTTTCGATATACGATTGTCAATGAGAGCTGAAGTATTTAACAGGAATAGTGAATCAGTTTCTCTGTCTTCGGTCTGGCCTAATGATACTTAACAGACAAACTAAATGAACTAACTTCCTAGCATTGTATATCGTGACAAACAATTGAATAGGTTTGCCTATTGAACTTTAACGTAGAATGATCGCTGTTGCTAGAGCTCTCATTTACAAGTATTCAATGAATTCTAATTCACATTTCAATTCCGTAGAAACTATGTTGACAGTTTTTGAAGACTGGCGTTGCCTGGAACGATGAGCCACGAGAATGCATATAGTTATTTCTAGTTCTTAATACAGATTGCCAATAATAGAAGTTTCGGAACTTTTAATCCTTTTTATTATTCGGAATTCCTTCCATACGGGTTTTGCGACTTATTCAAAGCTTCAACGAAACAGTTGCAAGTCTCTTTACTCGAAATATTTCATACCAAAATATCTACTAAGGTATAGGACTATACTCGATCTAAAATAGAAATGCACAGACTTCAACGCTTACCATTTTCAAAGGACGCCGACAAATAAGATTGGAAATCTACCACCTCTTAGAGAAAGATCTTGTAGATACAGGACATATGTTTACATTTTTCTCCATGCTTCCTTGTATTTAATTCTACTTTGTGACACCAACATAGAAGACAAGATTTGGGATTGGGTGCTGCTGGACGTGAGTAGGTAGATGTGAGTGTTAAACTTCTCATCCACTCGCAAGATAAGTTTTTCAACACACATGCATTGAATCTCATGCCTTGGTTACCCTATCTACATTCAGATTTATAATGAATTTTATCAAGAATATTGACAATAGTGCAAAGTGGTCATATTCTCAATCTCTTATGTTCAGAAAAATCGTTTACTCTCAGCCACCAATCAGAATTAGAACGGTTCACTGCTTTTTTTTTCCTAGACTTATAAAAAGTAGGTTAAAGTCCAAATATCGGCCGTACATCGATGCCAGTGAGACTCGTGAGCAGTCCTAGTACAAATTTTCCATTCATGGTACTCGATGTATTTTCCATGCTACATTTAACAAAAACTCATTCCAACTTTGGAAACGCAGATAACAATAAAAAGTGACAGCCTCATCAATAATTATGGGTATTTGGTGCGATATGCAAAAAATTGAATTTTTCCGATACATTGTCTCAAAGCCTTGAAAAGATTTTTTTTTCTACAATGTGACAGAGCTCGAAGAACTCTTACCACCAAATTATTTGCACTTGAGAGTGATAACCTGAAGCCATTGCAATGTTAAAAAAAGCATTCTTTTTTACTAGAAGACACATATAAACAAGATTTTTGAAACCTACACAGATTTTCTTTGATGACACATGGTTTCTAACAATCTACTAATGCTTTTGTTTCCTCTTGTTGATTGAAAGGGCTTGGATAATAGCCTTTTTATGAGTAGTTTTTTTTCTGAACACTTGAAAAGTATACGAACATTTATACTCAAATGTCAACTTGACTTACAGTGGCCGCCAAAATTATCCGACCAGTAGATAAAGTTTTCTTGTTTCCTTTGTATCTCAACAACTATATGAGTGAGAACAGTTTGGTTTTTGTTATATCAACGCCCATAGTATCTAGTATATACACAGAAAATTTCAGCTCAATCGATCAATAAATGGTAGTTCTATTGATGACACAATTTTAGTGCGCTATTTTTCATCCTTTCAAAATTATCCGACCGCTTTTCTTTTGTGTTATATTACTCAATCATTTTACGATAAAATTTCGATCATGACACAACATTAGAAAGAGCAAATTGTGGTCTATTCAATGACCATCTTTTATGGCAATTTTCTTCAGTATGGATTAAAAAACAATGTTTTTTTTATTCGTACTGAAAATTATCCTCCAGTAGCGGGACAATAGACGATTCTTTTAATATAATATTTAGTTAATCTCATTGATTTATATACCATTAGAAAGAGCATGAAAACCTGTACTAGAAAATATCTTTAGAGAGATGTTCCATGATGAAACATTATCTTAGTCTATCCCTACATATATATGAGCCATATTCAAATTATGCATAGAATGTCTCGTATAATCTCATTTATGGATCTAAAAAGATATGAAGAAACGTGTTTGACGGCCTAGAGTTGTACAGAATCTGTTTTTCTACAAAACTAATATATTTGAAATCAAAATAGATCACCTTTAACTGAGTTATACAGCTTTGTTTCTCTTGCAAAGCCAGAAGTATAACACTTATCATCTCCCTGAAAAAAGTTGGGTTGCATATTTCCCCAGATAGATACATATGGTACAACACCGAATGTCGAATCATGGTGCATATTTAATGGTTAGTCGACTGCGACATGACGTATCACGGTTAGATACGCATTTGATGAATTGTCGTATCAGATTGTTGTTGGGAGAATAATAGGTGTTGTACTCCTTGTTTTGCAAG